GAGAAACTGCAGAGAGTCAAGTCTATGCAATAGCCAACATGCAGTCACATACAGTTGGTGTACACATAGTGGGTGAACTGAAAATAGTCCCCAGACAGTCTTCGTTATCTCATTTTCTCAGTTCAGAAAGTCCACAATTATGCCCTGCAGTGTCTGGACTGGTTCTGCCTGCTGGCAGGTGATGAGGGCCAGGTGTGTTTCACTCAAAGGAGAGCTGGTCTGCGTGACGTCAAGTGCTGAGCACAGCGGGGCTGAGTCCTGGCAGGGCCCGTCTCTGTGCAGTGAGCCCCTCGTCTGCAGCAGGACCTCCAGCGTGGCCTCAGGGGAGAAGACCAGCGACCTGTGTGCTGGGCAGGGTGGGAGCTGATTGGACTGTGTCAGCGTGGCTCAGACTGCAGGGACTGTCCAGCGCAGTTTGCTTCCCTCTGGTGGTAGACTGGAGACATTGCAGGCAGACTACCAGGAGAAAACACACAGATGACCAACCCTATAATCCATAGGAATGGTACAGAGGTGACTTGCTCTAAATGCATGCTAATTACATCCCAAGTTTTTGTTCGGTTATTAAAAAGCACCTTTCACTCCACTCATGTGTGAGGCAGAGAGAGAGCCACCTGTTAATTGAAAAAGCTGCAGAACGAGGCCCAGCTGGCCTGTGTGAGTAAACAGCAGTCTGAGGGAGTGAGATTCCACTCAGGGAAGGGTGCTGTCAGGGTAGTGCAAATTCAGACCAATGAATTATAGCATTGCCAAAGTAGAAATAATTAACACATTCAGGAACATTTACAACAAAAATATTACTGGATGTTTACAGATATCAAATAAACATATTGAGCAATATTGAGAGACGGGTTTACTGTTCCTCAGGCTGGGACAGGAGATCACATACTGGGCTGCCAGATCAACTGAGTTCCCTCCTCCCTCTCCCAGTAGGATTGGGACCCGTTGTGACTCTGGCAGGTGTGGGAACTCTGGGATTAGATTTCTGAATTTCGGGAAGAATGTTTCTCTAATCCCAGAGTATCTGTCACAGTGCAGTAGGAAGTGCACCTCTGTCTCTTTTTCTCCCCGCTGGCAGTGGGAGCACAGCCTGTCCTCTCTGGGCAGCCAGGTCTGCCTGTGTCGCCCAGTTTCTACGGCCAGGCTGTGGTCACTGAGCCTGTACTTCGTCAGGGTCTGTTTCTTTTTGCTGTAATTTAGCTTGGTCAAACATTCTGCTGGCGTTTGTTGTCCGTTTACAGTCCTGTAGCATTCCAGTCTGTGTTGTGTGTGTGTTAAGGTAGTATTGTTTGGTTTGTGCTGTGTTTTGGCTGATTTTTATTAATGTTGTTTCTGTTGCACTGTCAGAAGGTTAGTAAGTGTCAGTGAGCTTCAGGACCAGCTGGCTGAGGGGATCTTAACTGGGCTAAGCAGGGCCTGTGGTGGTAGGAGCTCAGGTCACTACTTTTTAGGTGAAACCAATATTTTATTGTTTTTATGTCAATTCATTAACAATGGCCATTGTCCTAAATTGGTCCTGCATGCATCATTAGGTGGTTTCTCTGTTTTTACAGAGCTCTGTGTGCAGGGCTTTTATATGGTGTTGGTCCCATTTAGTGCAATCCTAGTCCTGTGAGGAGACCCCACACTTCACTCTCTCTGACAATACACTCCTTCTTCATTAGTCACCTGGCACTTCAGAGTTCAACCCAGTTATCTGTCACCTCCAGTTCTCAGTCTTCACCAGCTTTCACTCCACACTGAAACTTCCAGGTGAATCCTGATTCTTTATTCTTTAGTTATCTGGGTCACGTTTGTCTCCAGTGGGGATTCAGTCCTTGAATCCAGACACTACAAGATTGAAGAGTTTGAACGTTATATTCAGTGCTAAACAAGTTGGCTTCCCAGTTGTAGCATTCTAGTTGGAGTAGAAGATGTTTTCGACTGAGTGGGATTGTTTTACTCCATCTCTGTTCTGCAAAGGATGAACCTCGGCTCTAAATTCTTCAATATGATCTGTTTGCCACGATACACCAATGTCCAGTTGCAGCAGTCAGACCGATTCAGGTGTGTCACCTTGTCAGGAGCACCTGGACAGGTTGGTCCCTTGTCTCCTCTGCTTCTGGCCCTGGGGGCTGAGCCCCTAGCAAGCGCGATCAGGTCTCACTGCACCATTCATGGCCTTGGAGCCGGTGGATCCCCACGTGTGATCTCACAATATGCGGATGCCGCAATGATATACTTTATTAATTTCAGCTCCTCCTTGCCAGTTCTGTCCATTTCTTGGGAGCAATATGGATTGGCCTCACGCCAGTCCTCCCTTCGTCTGGATCCCAGAGAATATTCTGGAGTTACTAAGCAAGCCGACAACGGCCTGGTATTTCTCTCCAGATGACATCCCACGCTGGAAAAGCTGAAGCTATGACTGCAGACAGCGAAGTGGAAATATCTGCCTGTATCACTGCTTGGCCGGGCAAACTGTGCCAGGTTGTATGTACTGTACTGTACTGCCAAACTTTTTATACCTTTTCACACTCCCAATATCACACCAAACAGATTTTTTAAACAACAGACTCAGCAGGCTAGTATCCAGATGTAAATGGAATGGATAAACATTTAGGATTAAGGTGCCCCATTTATCCCGCTGTCTAATCTGCTGGAGAAGTAGGCCAAGCCTTTCATTGAACACCTGCAGGCTGTGGTTGTTGACAGGAAAAAGTCACTTCAGTGCACCCAAACTAAATCTATTTTACCCCCCTCTCTTCTGCCTGCATTGAAGGGAGGAATAAAGCAACTGTACTATAATATTGCTGTTCAGACAACCGACAGCCTGTGTGAAGAGAGTGTACGTCTGTCTTCTGGGAACGTTTAAAATGACTTTAATACGACTCCCAACCAATACTTCTTGAAGTCTTTAGGTGCGTAGTGAGGAGACGTGGAGTGATATTAGTGTTGTCAGGAGCTAGGTGAAGATTCCGATCAAACAGCAACAAAGTTAAATCTTAATCACTTAAATCACTTGGTGTTTTGGGTGTCAGTCCGACCTGAGTCTGTTCAGACATTGATGATCTACTGAGATCCTGAGCCACCGCACCGGCCCCCTTTCAGCTTCCAAGCCATGTTTGCTCTCCTGTGTTTCTTCACCGTTTGTTCTGTGTCATTCTCAAGTATAATGTTCTCATCATGCAGACACCTGCGTCAGCTCTGCAACCCAGGGCTCCTGGCTGCACCCCCTCCTGAGCCCTGCTGGGTGAAACTTCCACCCGAGAGCAGACCCTTCACACGGGCCTCCAGGAAGTCCAGATACATTCCCCACCTTCTACTGACTTTCACACTCACACTCATGCTTGTCTGCAATCAAGCCAGATCCATCATTCAGGATCCCAGCCATCCCGGCCACAGACTGTTCTCCCCCTGGGCTCTGGCGAGTGGTACCACACTGTTAAAGCACGGCCCACCAGACTCAAGAACAGCTTCTGTCCCACCACTGTGCGCATCCTCACCAGCTAACTGCAGGGCCTCAGACTCAATACACAGATGCACTCCACAGTTTTTGCATGCTCTACTATGTTTATTTTTGTCTCACTACTACATATTCATTGTTCCTGCTGTCTACATTGTGTGGTGTTGTCTGTTGTACTGTTTATGTCCCGAAAGATCAGCGTGATGAAGAACTCCAATGCACGTGTACAATTGGCAGTAAATTCTTCTGCTCTACTCAGTGAAATGCAGATATTTCTCTCTGCTGTACGAGTCCCTCTCTCTCTTCTCACTCCCCCTTGACCCTGGAAGTGCAGCTTGTAAGCTCTGTTGCAATGACCTTTTGACACCAGAAGGTGGCGCTGGACACCAGCGGTTTGACGGTAGAGGTACAGAAGGGACGGGCGGACTGGCAGGACGCTGTTACCTTCCCTTCTCCAGAGGTCTCTCCAGCTCAGGGGCAGCAGCCCCGGGGCAGTGGGCTGTAAACACAGAGCAGAAGGTATGTGTACAGGTGTGCCCTCAGGACCTGGGGGAGTTGAGCAGAGTTTGCAGTTCCTGTTGTCATGGCATCGCTGAGGGCCTCCCTGACTCAGCGTAATCGAGTGAGGATCCCCTGGGCGTGGATCACCCGCTAGTCACAGGAGTGATCGGAGCAAAGTACTGTAGTAAAGCACTTCCCTGCTGCTCTGAGCGCCTCGGTCCCAGTGTGTCAGGTGTCTGTCTGCATCCCCCTCTGCTGACGGTGTGTCCCTGCTTGCCCCCTGCCCCCTACCTGCCCCCCGCCTACCCCCTGCGCATCCCCTTCCTGCCCCCTGCCACCTACCTGCCCCAGCCCCCTGCTCATCCCCTTCCTGCCCCCTACCTGCCCCCTACCTGCCCTCTGTCTGCTCCCTGCCTGCCCCCTGCCCCTTACCTACCCACTGCCCCCTGCCTGCTCCCTGCCCGCCCCCTACTCGCCCCCTGCCCGCCCCCCGAGGGAGAGGAGGGGGCTGGACTCTCTGCAGCATTACCAGACGCGGTGTGTACTGCCGATCTCTGCAGCCTCTCTCTCTCAGCGCGTCTGTGTGTCAGTGGTTTTCAGGAACCAAGCCCAGGTCACACACGCCACACATACTGGTTTCCTCATCGACACTGAGGCTGCGCCTTAGCACGAGGCGAACACAGGCAGCTTGACAGCGACAGAGCCACCGGAGAGACAGCCTGGAGCTCAGGAGTGCTGGGGAGTGAGACAGCACTGGAGTTCAGGGGTGCAGGAGTGACCGAGAGAGTGAGACAGCACTGGAGCTCAGGAGTGCAGGAGTGGAGAGAGTGAGACAGCACTGGAGTTCAGGAGTGCAGGAGTGGAGAGAGTGAGACAGCACTGGAACTCAGGAGTGCTGGGGAGTGACAGCGAGAGAGTGAGACAGAACTGGAGCTCAGGAGGGCAGGAGTGGAGAAAGTGAGACAGCACTGGAGCTCAGGAGTGCTGGGGAGTGAAGGCAAGAGAGTGAGACAGCACTGGAGCTCAGGAGTGCTGGGGAGTGACAGTGAGAGGGTGAGACAGCACTGGAGGTCAGGAGTGCTAGGCAGTAACAGCAGCAGCAGAGATGGCTCCCTGGACCCTCACTACCAAGGAGAAATATGGAGTGGGTAAGTGGCCAGCTTCCCTGCAACTCGCCCTCCTCTCTCTCTTTCACTTCACTGCAGCTGAAAGGTGTTGTGTTACAGGAACAGATACAATTGATTTTTAAAGAAGTAAAACTGATGGATAAGTCACATGTTGCGAAGCTTTCTGAACTGACTGTTAGAGTTATAGCTTCTCCCCCTGTCCACAGGGCTGGCGGGGCTGCAGGGCAGTTATACAGTAGATTCTCCCCCTGTCCACAGGGCTGGGGGGGCTGCAGGGCAGTTATACAGTAGATTCTCCCCCTGTCCACAGGGCTGGGGGGGCTGCAAGGCAGTTATACAGTAGATTCTCCCCCTGTGCACAGGGCTGGCGGGGCTGCAGGGCAGTTATACAGTAGATTCTCCCCCTGTCCACAGGTCTGGCGGGGCTGCAGGGGCACCTGGGCTGAGTGGCCCTTCTCTGCCCCAGCGAGCAGCTGCTGCTCCAGCCTGAGCCACACAGCCCTGCTCCAATCCCTGTCAGAAAGCTACTGAGTGCGGCAGGCAGGAGTGCACAGACGCTCCTGGACAGGAGCTCTCTGGGTTGCAGTGAGACTGACAGTAACCCAGCAGCACTCAGCTGGGTCAGGGCAGAGGGGTCTGGACAGGTGGACTGGAGGCAAGGTTTCAAGCTGGCAAAATGTCCAAAGACCCTGCTTGCTCTGCCATATCAAGAGATTTCCTCTGTGGTTTATGGGTGTTTCTGCAGATCTCTAGGTGTTAGGCTTCTGAGGGTCTCTTTCTCACAGCTCTCTAGCTGGCTGTGTGGGAGGAGAGTGGGGGTGTGTGTTCAGTCCAGTGTCTCTAGCTGGCTGTGTGGGAGAAGAGCTGGACAGTGTGTTCAGTCCAGTGTGTCTAGCTGGCTGTGTTGGAGAAGAGCTTGACAGTGTGTTCAGTCCAGTGTCTCTAGCTGGCTGTGTGGGAGGAGAGTGGGGGTGTGTGTTCAGTCCAGTGTCTCTAGCTGGCTGTGTGGGAGAAGAGCTGGACATTGTGTTCAGTCCAGTGTCTCTAGTTGGCTGTGTAGGAGGAGAGCTGGGGAGTGTGTCCAGTCCAGTGTCTCTAGCTGGCTGTGTGGTAGAAGAGCTGGACATTGTGTTCAGTCCAGTGTCTCTAGCTGGCTGTGTGGGAGAAGAGCTGGACAGTGTGTTCAGTCCAGTGTCTCGTCTTTTCCCTACTGTGGTTTTCCCTACTGTCACCATTTATTTACTCTAAACTATTTCAAACAGATCTTCGAAAGAGTCATTTATAGTGTATTTTTATCCGTCTCTCTAGTAATAGCATATTGCACATATTTCCTGTCTGTCTGTCTCGCTCCCTCAGAGCAGAGGAGAGCTGCTTTCTCAGTGTCCTGCTCTCCACCCAGCTGATCACGGAGGATCACAAAGTCACAAACAGGAAGAGGCCATCTGACCCATCCTGCTCACTTAGTGGCATGAAGGTCCGAGTCAGAGAATTCCATCCTCTTGGTTCCATGGAGTTACACCCCACTATCTGGCTGTGGGGCGGTTCGAGGTCCCGCAATCCCTGATCTCAATATCGGTTTCTAGTTTCTTTTACATATTAAGTTAAGGCAACAATTGTTAGAACTGATCTAGCCAGCAGCCATATCACCCTGCAACTCACAACTGGCAACCCACTGAAGCTCAGCAGCTGTGAGCCTGGCCAGTACCTGGATGGAAGACCTCTTGGGAAAAACTAAGGTTGCTGCTGGAAGAGGTGTTAGTGGGGCCAGCAGGGGGTGCTCACCCTGCGGTCTGTGTGGGTCCTAATGCCCCAGTATAGTGAACAGGCGCCGTCCTTCGGATGAGACGTAAAACCGAGGTCCTGACTCTCTGTGGTCATTAAAACTCCCAGGGTGTTTCTCGAGAAGAGTAGGGGTGTAACCCCAGCGTCCTGGCCAAATTTCCCATTGGCCTTTACCAATCATGGCCTCCTAATAATCCCCCTCTATGAATTGGCTTCATTACTCTGCTCTCCTCCCCACTGATAGCTGATGTATGGTGAGCGTTCTGTCACACTATGGCTGCTGTCACATCATCCAGGTGGGGCTGCACATTGGTGGTGGTGGAGGGGATCCCCATGACCTGTAAAGCACTTTGAGTGTCCAGAAAAGCGCTATATAAGTGTAAGCAATTATTATTATTATTATTATCTAGAGGAAATTAGAAAGTGTGGAGCATTCACTCAGCATGGATTGAGAACAGTCTGATCTTGCTTAACGTGTCAGAATTATTTGCACGAGTAAGAACAGCAATGGATATATTCAGAACATGCAGCACACACCCGTGTTTTTAGATTTCAGGAGGCTCTGATAAAGCTCTACAAAAAAGATTAATTACAAAATGACAATCTGTAGATATTGGGTGAAATGTGTGTTTGCATTGAGGACCGCGGGACAGATAAGGGGTGAATTGTGGTCAAACTGGGGTGATGTAGTGAGTGGAGTACCATAAGGCACTGTGCTAGGACCACTGCTTATCCTAATTGATATCACCAGACTGGATCCTTGTAGAAGTAAAAAAACAGTCACGTTTGCTGATGATAACAAATCAGCAGCAGATTTTCAGCCAAATGAAATTTAGATAAAATTTAAGAGGGGCAAACACTTGGCAGATTGTGTCTGATCAAGACAAGAGCAGTTTTTTTATGCAAGTCGAAAAAAATCTATACGTGCAAAACTGAAAACAATGAGGTACTGTAGAAGAGGCTGTTTTTGAAAACACTTGGGTGTTGATGTTGACGCAACACTTTCATCTTCATGACACTGTAAGGAAGCAATTACAAAGGCAAGCAAAATGTTAGGATTTATAATGATAAATAACCTTTCTTATACAGCACCTTTAAAGGTGGGTTCTCAAAGTGCTTTACAGAACAACTACAATAACAAAGAAGTGCACAGTGAGAGGAGATAGTAGATGGGGGTATGGAATACAGCAGGAGCAAAGGGGTACTGTACACAACAGATCCAGTTCAGTAAAGGCCCTTCTGCAGAAGAAGATTTTGGGTCTGGATTTGACAGAGCTCAGGGAAGGTGACTCTCTGATATCCTTGGGGAGAGAGTTCCAGAGCTTGGAGGCATAACAGGAGAAGGCCCTGTCACCCATACAATGTAGACGGGCTTGGGGGAGAGTAAGGAGAGCAGAATTAGAAGAGCGAAGGTTGCGAGGTGGGGAGTAGGGCGATAATAGTTCAGACAGGTACTGAGGTGCCAAGCCATGCAGAGCCTTGTAGGTGAGCATGAGGATTTTAAAGTCGACGCGAAACCTGACAGGAAGCCAGTGCAAGGACTCCAGGATAGGAGTAATGTGATCACTTGCACTAAACCTGGTCAGGATTCTGGCTGCTGAATTTTGGACAGACTGGAGTTTGCTCAGTGCCGATCTAGAAACAACAGCTAGAAGAGCATTACAGTAGTCAAATTGGGAGAGGACAAATATGTTGATCAGCTTTTCAGCCACAGTTAGAGATAACATAGGATATAGTCTGGCGATATTTCTGAGGTGAAAGAATTATGTTTTGACAATATGTTGCACATGTGGGTTGAATGTGAAGCTTGAATCAAATATCACTTTTCAATTTAGACTGAAGCTCAAGTGCAGTACCATCCACAGATAGGGTTACAGAATTGGCTCTACAGAGTTGATGGGGGTGTCAATAAGCATGACTTCAGTCTTGTCGCAGTTCAGATTAAGGACATTTTGAGTCATCCATGTTTTTGTCAGAGATGCCATTCGATAAAATAGAGACGGCCACATCAGTGTCTGGTTTGGTGTGGATGTAGATTTTAGTATTGTCAGGATAGAACTGATAGTTGAGGCCATGTGATCTTAAAGGCTGACCAAGTGGAAACGTGAATGCTGAAGAGCAAGGGGCCCAGTATTGAGCCCTGAGGAACACTAGACTTAACAAGACCAATTTCAGGCCTGTACCCATTAAGAGAGACAAAGTGACAGTGATCATTGAGGTAAGACCTGAACCATTTGAGAGCAGTGTCAGATACTGCAAACATAGTCTCAAGACGAGAAAGTAAGATATCATGGTCAACAGTGTCGAAAGCAGAATCAGAAGCTATCAGGAGATTGTTAGTGACTTTGACCAGGGAAGTTTCTGTGCTGAAGTTGTCAGAATTGAGAGATTGGAAGGGTTGGAAAAGGTTGTTTTCAATGAGGTGGTTATTTGTGTGTTTATGTGGTTATTTATGTTCTAGAATTGTGATGGATTGGACCCTACAGGATAGGAGAGACAGAAGGGTTAGGAATGTCTCTTGGTGGTTTAGTATTTCCTATTAAAAACAGAATCTCATCCGGACATTTCTTGAAGGAAATGATCAGGTTCAATCACAAGGCTGGGCAGTTTGTTCCAGACTCCTGCAGCCCTTTGAGTAAAGAAGTGCCTCCAGGTTTCTGTTTTTAATACCCTTTCATGTAGTTTCCGTTTGTGCTCTCTGGTTCACGTTTCACTGCTCATTCTGAAGGAAACTGCTGGGCTGTGTTGGAAGGTCTTTGAAGGTTTTGAACACCTGTAGTCTCTCTGTTCAAGTCTAAAGAGGTTCTGTCCTACAGCACTCGATAGTGGCTGCTCCCAGTTGCTGTGATCCGTGTGAATTAAAAGCTGCTAATTCGACTGAAGGGCTCTTCTCTCAGGCTGGGGATTGCAGACCTATGTACAGTATGTCATAACACTGATCTGTGCAATCTGCAAGACTGCATCACAAGCAGGTCTCTAGCCGGCCCTTTTGCTCAGGAAGCGCTGAGTGTGGCTGAGGTCCATGTCCGACTCCTCTGCCCCTGCCCCTCAGGGTGCGCTTCCTGCGTCATCCCCTGGAGCTGCGTGAGCCGCTCCTCTCGCGTGTCGAGCTCTGGCCATGTGAAGACACGTCTGGCCCTGGGCTGCTGAGGTCAGGAGAAGACCTGCCTGTTTTCATTGCCTGTTTCGCTGTGACTCGCGCTCTCACCAGTGTTCCGTTTTATTTCTCCTGTTCTCTCTGGGAAATGTGCAAGACGAAATGCAGAGGTATGGGGTCGGGTGACATGTGTCTGCTGCCTGCTCACTGACACTGCCGTGCCTGTGTCTGCTCTGCGGACCTGCTGGCCTGTGGGTGGTCACAGGACCTGCCACGGGGCACGAAAGGAGAGATGCAGTCCAGACGTGTTGGACTGCACTGATGTCATGTCTGAGCTGCTGGCCAGGGTCCCAGCACTGCGCACAGCCCAGGTCAGCGCTCCTGTCACACCTGCTGTTGAATACAGCGCCTCTCCATGGTGGCTGCCACACCAATCCCTTGTACTGGCTGCACGACTGGTGTGAGTTCTCATCATGGCCCTTGTTGCCAGTGGGAGTGCTGGCAGGGCGGGCCGGGGTACAGCAGACGCTCTGGACATTGTCACATGCTGCACGAAGAGAAGACACAAAGCAGTGACATTTACCTTCACCGCTGTCCCTCTGCTTGACCACAGCACGATCTGTGGCCTGTGAGACACATTGCAGTACAGTACACTTCTCACCCCCACACACACACAGACAGGAGAAGTGACACTGCACACACACACAGACAGAAGCATTGACACTACACACACACACGGACAGGAGCAGTGACACTGCACAAACACACACACACACAGACAGAAGCATTGACACTGCACACACACAC